AGTTAACACACCGCTTTTATGTCCTGGGGGGATGTATGACTTTATGTGTGTGACTTTATGTGTATGACTTAATGTGCATGACTTTATGTGTATGACTTTATGTGTGTGACTTAATGTGTGTGACTTTATGTGTGTGACTTTATGTGTATGACTTTATGTGTATGACTTTATGTGTGTGACTTTATGTGTATGACTTAATGTGCATGACTTTATGTGTATGACTTTATGTGTGTGACTTAATGTGTGTGACTTTATGTGTGTGACTTTATGTGTGTGACTTTATGTGTATGACTTAATGTGCATGACTTTATGTGTATGACTTTATGTGTGTGACTTAATGTGTGTGACTTTATGTATGTGACTTTATGTGTATGACTTTATGTGTGTGACTTTATGTGTATGACTTTATGTGTGTGACTTTATGTGTATGACTTTATGTGTGTGACTTTATGTGTATGACTTTATGTGTGTGACTTTATGTGTGTGACATTGTGTGTGTGACGTGATGTGTGTGACATTGTGTGTGTGACGTGATGTGTGTGACATTGTGTGTGTGACGTGATGTGTGTGACATTGTGTGTGTGACGTGATGTGTGTGACTTTTTGTGTCAGACTTCATGTGTATGACTTAATGTGTATGACTTATGTGCGTGACTTTATGTGTATGACTTATGTGCGTGACTTTATGTGTATGACTTTATGTGTATGACTTTATGTGTATGACTTAATGTGTGTGACTTAATGTGTATGACTTATGTGCGTGACTTTATGTGTATGACTTATGTGCGTGACTTTATGTGTATGACTTATGTGCGTGACTTTATGTGTATGACTTATGTGCATGGCTTTATGTGTATGACTTTATGTGTGTGACTTAATGTGTATGACTTTATGTGTATGACTTTATGTGTATGACTTTATGTGTATGACTTTATGTATATGACTTTATGTGTGTGACGTGATGTGTGTGACGTTATATGTGGGACTTTGTTTATATGCTTTACGTGCAGGAAGTTCTATCTATCTATCTATCTATCTATCTATCTATCTATCTATCTATCTATCTATCTATCTATCTATCTATCTATCTATCTATCTATCTATCTATCTATCTATCTATCTATCTATCTATCTATCTATCT